GTTAGCCTGATCCGAGGGCCACACAGATCGTGGCTCACTTCGACTGGCTCACGCAAGCGCTGCGATCCACCCAAACGCCCTGCCCCCGTCGCTCCCTTGCCCGCCCCATTTGCCCCCCATTTGCCGTTTATGCTAAGTGGCAAGCGCCGACGCAACGCAAGTGGCAGCAACTGCAGCAGCAGCAATTGCAGCAGGAGCAGCAGCAACAGCTCATCTTTTGGCGGGCTTAATGCTAGCCTGGCCCTGCCCCACGCGTCCAGCCCAGCGACTTGTCAGCCACTGCAGCTTGATTGAAGCCCGCAAATTAAAATTGCCAATGGCTGGTGGATTCGTATACCCTGTAGAAATGGGCGCAAAGGCGGGTAGCTGCGCTTTGAATTGATCTGATCATGCCTCTCTACAACTGGATACCCCTTCATTTTTCCCGATGAGTGTCTCGCATAGGGCATCAACTAGTCGAGTATGTCCTCTTACTACACCTTCCGATTGCCTTGATTGCTTGCAGGGCATCAGTGCGTCGAGCAGACTCGCTCAGAGATCACTTTTACTTGATTCTTGTTTTTGCTTTTGATGTGGCTCGAATGCAATTCTCACGATTTGGCACAGACGCATCATTTGTTCGCTGCACACAGAGCCACCTCCACCTCCATCTCCTCATCCTCATCCACATCCTGATCCCCATCATCTTCAGCGTCATCATGATCATGGTGTAAGCTGCTCATTTGGGCGTTGCAACACACAAGATTCGCATCCAGGCTGCTCGGATCGCAACTACCAAATCGCGTCTCAAGCTGCGAGCTTCCAAGTCCGGTTTGCAGCTGATCAAATTAACCATTTAAATAAAACATTTGTTTTGATTCTCGCTTTAAAGAAATGCAAAGCTCGGCGCTATGGGCGAGCGGGGGCCGCAATGGGTGGCAAGGGGGGAGACAGGTAGATGGGGCATCTGTGCCTCGTTGATGCCGGTTGACAGGCGTACACACAAATCCTTCTCATTTTGGTAGCTGCTCAGCTAACTGAGCCCCAGCTCCAGCCTCAGTCTCAGCTCCAGTCTCAGTCCCAGCCCCAGCTGCAGCGCCATTATGATCATATTGGGGTCTTTGGGAACTTTAATGCCAGATTATCTCAGCATTTACTCGTACTTAGCCCAATGTAGCTGAATCATTAACATGCTCTCTGAACCTCTCGCTCGCTCTTTGTTGATCTACCCCTCTTTTTCTCTCTCTCTCTCGCTAACCTGGCTTATATGCTATAAAAATCGGCAAAAATGAGTTATGAATAGTGGAATACCATACCTTCGACTCTACTCTTTAGATTTTTTAGCGTTACTATTTGGTTTCTCTTCACAATTTATTCATATATAATCCATCCATGCTCTCCATTTGGAAAATTCATTTATACTATCTATATATCACCCTTACCTATCCAAACTATTTACCCATACCCATTTATATAAAATATATCTATCAACCCATACCTTTACCATCTATATATAGCTTTAGCTATAGGGTAGCTACAATATTAATGACATTTGACTATTCTACTATATCATGTAGATTTATATTAATGAATCAAATATACCAAATTTTTTAGAGATTCCCTAAGGAAACAGATTGGCATAACTGTACCGTAAATTTCACCACATATTCATATGATGAAATATGCATATATATAGAATATATCAATCATTCACAGGAAATATCTATAGCACTTGCTGAATAGATCAACAGATTCTATAGACTTTATGATATACGCATATAAAATATTCCTAATTTCAACATGCTTATATCAAAATTGTATTCTCTCTAAAAAATTTCTAATATTTCCGAATTAGACACACGCACACATGCCATAAAAATACCCTATAAAAATATGCGTATTGCGTATCGGGACTTAACAAATTGTGTGTTCAAAATGCGATTATGGGATGTTCATAAAAATTTGCGGCAGGCCATTAAATTAATACAAATTGCATCGAATTCATTAAAACAGGCCAAAAAACAAGGCCAACAACAAGAAAAAGGCTAAGAACAAGAAGGCGAAGATGATTCCGACTTGGCTAACAAATTGGCCCCCACTGACATTTGGCTGATGAAGATGATGCCAATGGACAGGCGACAGCTCAAATGGAAAGGAGTCAACAGGAGAGAAGAGGAGGAGGCTGAGGAGGAGGAGAGGTGCCAATGGGGACTGCCGGAATTATCATTTATTAATTGTTCTTTAATTTGTGTGGGAAGCAATTCTCTCTCCCTCTGCCCGTCTATACATATAGAAGCGCACAGCTGAAGGAGAAGAAGAAGATGAAAAATAAAATAATACAAAATTAGCGACCGCAAACAACAACAAATAATAAATTTCGGCGTTTTTTTTTTGTTTGTGTTTTTGTTTTTTGTTTTTTGTGTCATATTAAAATGCAAATGGAATCCAATAAACAACAACTCATTAAAAGCGCAACCAACCGGCTGATGACCCGATCCAAAAGAAGAGCTCCGACCAAATCAAGAATATCATCCACAGACCAAACACCGAAGACCACAGACCAAAGCGAACATAATTGGCCATAAAAGATCGAACGCCCACCAAAATTAGTCAGGTGGCACAGACAGGTGATTATCCAGTTTCTAGATCAGTTTGGAATGACAATAGCAGTCGATAGGCAGAAGTCAAGTGAAGTATTCCACACAGAATACTGTGAATATACGATATGTGAGATGTTCTATGGGGAATATGATAATAGACTTAGATGATATATGATATAGGAGTATACGTGATTGAACTATTTCTTAGAGAAACAGTTTCGGATATAAATATTAAAGATATGATTTATATATGTATGTAATATAGAGGTATATGAATTATACATATATCGTCAGAAGAGGTTAGTTGTATCCAAGTTGACTTAGCTCTTATATAGGAATTGCATAAGAGACGAACAAAAACTCTTATATTTATCCATAATATTTAGCTTATATTTATATAAATATTTTTAGGCATTTTAATAGGCCTCTTAAAATCTGAGAGACAAGCCCAATATATTTAGAGTGTTCTGAATGTGGAAATTATACCTGTTCTTAAATATTCTGTCTATATTACAATTTTTTGTTATATAACTGTATAATTCACTGGCTATTCTTCTTCTTAATTTATGTACATACATATAAATATTTGATGCATATTTGAAGTATATATCGAGAGATATATCTTTAATTTGGGCTTCTTATGGCAATAAAATATGCTCGTTATATTAGTTAAATACGTGTTTGACTTATTAAAGCATTGGACTCGATGAACTCGATAAACCTGTAATATGGAATCAATTGAAAAAATGACATTTGAATGCGATATAAATAAGAAATGGGGACATTTCGTGCTGTTGGATGATCTGAAAATCGAGGCTCGTACGAGCATAAATCAAGCGGAATGCAATGAAAATAAATAATATGTTAGAGTATGTACGAGAGCATGTAAAGGCAGAAGGAACACCAATCGAATGCAATGGCAATGATCCATGAATGAGGGACGCACGTGGAGAGTGAACGACTAGCAGATGCCCTGTCAATGTGATATGATATAGGGAAAATGCATTTCAGTTGTTATTTGTGATAACTTGGTTATGGTATAGCTGATCGTATTAAAATTGAAGAGATCAATGAGACATAGAGGGTAACAATGTAATAGATAAACAGATATTTGGTATAGGATGTATGTATACCTGGTATAGTTTTATAGATCAAACTGGAGACTGACAGATTGATTTCCATTGAATTTATTATTTTCCTATAAGTCGAGTATTGTATAGCCGATCGAGTTGAGATTAATCGACTTCTCCTAGCAAAGCAATATAGTTTCTAGCTAATAGTGACTGGAGCATACAATTCTATTCACCTTTTAAAGGGTATCACAGGCATGAAACGAATCAATGATTGAATAAACAGTGAAATAATTTAATTTATGAACGACATTCAATTTAATTTGACTGTTATGTCTGTTGCTTGAGAGCGAAGCTCACACGTGATCCAAATGCTGGATGGGCTGAGCTCGGGACTGGCCCAGCGCTGAGTCAGGCTCAAAGTGGGCCGCCTTCACGAATGCCTATAAATACACAAATATCTATAAACATATATACATATACATATATACATTTATATAAATATACTTGTATGCATGTATGTATATATTTAGAAATATGTCTTATGGTCATGTTGGCGATCATTTTGCGACAATTGATGCAAAGTTTATTGAATTCCGTTGAGTTGTCTGCGAAAATTTTCTTAATGCGCCATTAAAAATGCGCAACGTGTTTGCCCGGCGAGCCCGATTGACTGACAGCTGTACACATATACATATACATACACACATACATACATACACATTGATACCTAGAGGAATTGAAGACCTGGCAACATCGACTGAAATATATATTGAATTGAAATTTATATCGATGGCCGAAATTGGCGCACGTCGTCGAACGCAGCACTTCAAAGTAGCGCCCAGGCCCACACGGAGGCGCCTAATTAATATGCAAATGTTAATGTTAACCCAGTCATGTTATTGGCCATAAGAGTGACTTAACAGATCTACATTACGACTGTTAAATTGCGCCATAAATAGAGTTATTTGAGCATTCGCTTATGCTTTTAGATAGACACTGTACTAAATCGACAATATGCTGTTATCGTTAGTCACTTACTATGTTAAGCAGCTGTTAAAGTAGGATATGTGATATAGTAGTAGAATTGCCAGAATAAAACTTTTACTTATCATGTTATATTTTGTAGGTTATGCTATATTTGTGCACGGTTAACTTTTTAATGTTAGTAAACTGTTAACCGACTGTTATCTGTTAAGCTGAAAAGAACCAACAAGTAAAACTCAATTGTGATTTGTTGAAAAAAAAACTTAATTTTTTTATTGACTAAACTCACAAGAAAAGCGAAAAACACAAATAAATAATTTATAAAACAAAAAAAAATTATATATATATTTATACATATATATATAGGTTTATATATATATAGTTCTGCTGTTTTCAACTCTTGTTTACTAAATTGTCTCTTAGCTTAGACTAATTTCCTTTAGCTAATTTTAATTGCCGCCTGGCAAAATGTTTATGCAGAAAAAAAAAAAAAACTATAGACTATATATATATATAGTTGATATAAGTACTTGGGCTTGTGCGTATTTCTTGCTTTTATTATTTGTATTAAATATGAACTATGTAGGTATACATGTATATATATATATAGGCTTGTGTATATCAATTAAATATAGGAAACTCTTTAAGCGGCGTATACTTTTCGAAAGCACCTAAGAACTAAACAACTTAGTATTCTATGAAAATATCAAATAGTATTTGGGTTAAAATTTTTCAAATTATGAGCGTTAGCCCCCATCTAAGCCCTAGCCCCCGCTTAACTACCAACTAATTGTGTGTGCTTGGGCCACCCTGCGATGCGCCTTTTGTGTGTGTGTTTTTTTTTTTAATCTCATTTCCCAACAAAAAACAAAAAAATAATAATTATTATTACTATAGAATTAAACTGAGCACTGAAAGAGAACAAAAACTAAAGAAAATCTAAAAATTCACGAAAGAGGGAAATTTCAATGTTACGATCATCTCACAAAGATCTTGGCATCCCTACAACTCCTCCAGGCAGCGCACATTGGTGAGCATGATGCGGGTCAGGCGCCAGACCTGCTTCGCAGCATTCTCGAGGGCGCCCGGAGACTTGCCCTTGAAGAGATCCATGTTGGGCAGGAAATAGTGGGGACAGCGACGGCACTGCAGGCAGGATATCAGCTGCAGGAATATCCCATTGATTCGATCCGCAATGCAGTTCTCCTCCCACTCCATTTCCCTCGGATGCTTCTCGCATTCGTAGAGCAGCAACGTTTTCAGATGATACGACGTCACGGGATTGCCGGGCAGATCCAGATGACGATCACGTAATGTCTTCAATATGCTAAGGCAGCGACGGCGACTGGCACCTGAAATGCAGAGAAATATCATTTAAATAAATAAAATTAATGATAATTTATAAAACATTCCAAATAAGCTATCGAACTATGGATACAGAGAGAGAGAGAGAGAGAGAGATAGAGGGAGAGAGGGAGAAAGAAAGAGAGAGAAAAAGGTCTCAATCTATATAGATCTTAAATTCGCTTTTTCATTAACACAAAATTTGTTCAGTCAAAAATTTATCGTCTTATACGATATATTATATATTTGTCTTCCACTTTAACATTCACTTTAACCGCCTGTTACACGTTATATACTGATATATACTATATATACATAAATATTATACTTTATATACTACTTTTTTTCACCTTTCATATTTAACATGTACTTTATCTGCCTGTCAAATGCTATTTTATGGCGGCATCCAGCTTTTTTAACTTGACTGTCACATAAAATGTAACAAGCAGTCACGTTTTTGACATTTAGATACAAGTGAGCGTTGCCACCTAGCCATAAATTGAATCGCAACGCACAGTAAGTTTGAATTGATAATCGATATGGTTTTCTATAAATATTATTTGTACAATTTCATAATACCCCAAGTGTAGATATTGTTTGTCATTGATTATTTCGACCATGCTCATGCCCAATTAGTCATTTGAATGGCACTCAAGTGTCGAAAAAGTGTGAAATGTAGGAAAACATATTACGAAATTTGATAACTACGCTGACTAATCGGTTTCGCTCAAAATTTGTATTTAATTTGCTGATAATTGACAGTACGTATATCGTAAGAAAGGCCCCCAAAACAATCAGTTTACAGGCCGGCTCCAGGTTCAGGTCTTCGGATATTTTGTGAACCGATTTTGATTGATCAACCCACACAACGTTTGGGACGTCAAACAGCACATAAATCATGGACTTCGAGTGTTAAAATTACTAATCTCAAACGGTGCCCGATAATCATATATTGGGTGCGTTGATATGATGTCTACCCATGGGCTCTACACGCTAACTGGGACTAAAATAGTATGTTTGCTCCATAGCTGGGAGTACTTGAAATTTTATAATAGAGTTCCGCTTAAACTTCTTATGAAAAAAAAGTTTATGGTCGATTTGAATTACTCTGGACTATTTGAAAGGGCAAACTCTAATTTAAGGTGAGAGTTATCGATAACCGATTGTAGTGAGTTCAATTCACAATTGATTTGTTTTCCAAAGATTGATTAACTACAAAATTAAGGGAATTTCGCACAGGCTGATTATCGATAACAATAATTATTTATGGAGTCAATGATTTTATTTCAAATTATCACTGCGAGTTTATATTTTGAATGAAGTTGGACACAATTTAGATACAATCAGAAATAGGGGGAAAACAATGGATAATAACGAACAAATTTGGATAAAGTTTACATGGAAAACAATCGGTGCATAATAATTCACATTAATTTCATGCTAAATACGAGATAGGAAGAAGTTTCATTAATGCGAAATAAAGAAGCTGATAAAACAAATTTTATTATAGTCGATACCCGAAAACAATATAGATATTGAGAAAAAAAAAAAAAAAAAAAAACAAACAACGAAAATAAATAAGCACAAGATCAGATATATTCGCACGTATCTATAAGATTAGGAGCAAGCGGTACACGATAACGATATACAATTGAATAATATTGAATACTAATAGATCAGCGCTTCATTAATATACTATAGAAATGCGCAGACTGATCAAAGCATGAATAAAACAAAGACGCATCGAATGTGACAATGGAAATCTGATAAGTGTGACAGCAAGCGTAATCGATAGACGATAGGCGATAACGATATTGTAATGGATACAGTCGCATTGACAGTTAGTCGAGGGGCACGATCGCTGGCTGCTAAAGAAGAATCAAGCAATTATTATGCGACAGCCAGCATTAAATTAAATGTCAAGTCGCTCGACTAGCATCCAAGAGACACGATTCCAAGATTCCAAGATGCGAAGTCTCGAAGATCGGTGATCGAGAGAGATCGTTGAGAGGGCGCATAAAATCAAATGTGAGGGCTTGAGATTTGATTTCGATTTGGGTCTTTGGCTAAGTTTTTATCTTCTTTCATATTTTATTTCGCTTCTTCTTTTTTTGTTTTCGCTTTGTCGTCTCTGGTGGCTTTAAAGGTTTTTTTTTTTTTTTTGTTTTAGCTTTTTATTTTTTGTATTTGTATTTCGCTTGGCTGGCTTCTTGAGACCGGGCCGGCGCACCGTTGTTTTTATTTATTTGTTGACTTTATCTAATCGCCGAGATTTAAAATATTTATAAAATCGTTTAGAAATTTATTTATGGCTCGGTCACTGTTGGCATTTGTTGATATCGAGCCGAAAACCCGTTTCTCCGCCGCCTTATACCGATCGACTTCAGCCCAACTTCGTTTATCTGACTCAGATCAGCGTGGATTTGTGCGCGTGGAGACATCAGCCGGAAAGGCGGCCAAAGGTGGCTTATCCAATAAATAGTGCTCGGCCTAGTCCACACACAGATTTATGATCGCTGCCCATCATGGAGGCCGTATCTCATTGCTTATCGCGCTTCGATAAACGGATGCGTTTTGCTCCGCCGGGCCACAGACGATCGGTTGCCTAAACGTTTTTCTCCCTTCGCAGTCTAACTTAATGGAAATTGATTGGGAATCGATAAACTGAATAGAAATAGAAGCTGATCGTCTATATCGTATGTATTACTAATTAGCTGGCATTTTTTATAGCTCAACTAGACACTTCACAGATACTTAGAGTCGCATAAAAGTTGAGTCTGATTCGATCGTGTCTCGTGATGATCAATAGTCTCGCACCTAACTAAATCTTTTTAATTGCTGCGATGATTAGATTAGGCAAGTGTTAACTGATCTCTGACCAGTGAAGCACCTGTAAAAACTTTAATTACCTTCGTTTATGATCAATTAAGTTACTAACTGCTCTTTAAAAGAAACATCTCTACCATGATCAGTGGAGATATTCACAGTCTTCAATCTGATCATGTTTGGCTTTTGTCAAGGAAAGCCGTTAGACTAGTCCTCAGTGCGATCGGTCGAGGATTAGATGCAGTCATTGAATTGATCAACTGATCACAAGATCTTCACGTTGATCACAGGTTCAACAGAGCTCGGCGATCAGAGCTAATCGAATGCAGTTTGATGAGAGTCCAGCTTATCGAATGGATCTTGTCGCTAGCCGTCGCAGCGCACACATACACACACATCTGTATATATATATCTTGATAGCTGATTTGATTTACAAGCAATTATATGAAAACTACAGTCGCTGATTTGTTCGAAATAAATCAATTAAATTTAAGTGTGTCGCTGATTATAATCACATTGACGGGGAGCTAGCTGCTGTTGAAGATCGGTGGGGGGTGGTGAGGGGAGCCAGGTAGCCAGGCAGTTGCTCGATTTTCTTCATTTGAAATTTACTATCGGCTATCATTTATTATTCGTATTTTTTTTTTGGTTTAACTCGATTTGAGACGTTTTTGTTTGTTTGTTTATTTTTGTTGACTTTTGGAACGTACGAACGTACTCTGACACTGACGAAAACTAAAATCATATTTATTTTCCAGTATGTTTGTAAGAGAAGAAGACGAATTATTTTTATAAAACAAAATCAAAAGCTGCAAAATTGAATGATCTTCTGAAGTCGCATTATAATCAAATTTCAGTTTGAAGTAAGCAAATTTGTTTTCTTCGATAACAAAACGAAGCTCAAATGCAGATATGGGAATCACGAAACAATTTGTTTTATCTGATAATTAAATCAAACTATTGTAGTAGTTGGAGATCTAGATAAATAAAAGCTTTGAATACTTTTGGTATAGACATTCTATTTAGTTATGTGCAGCTTTATAACAATATTATTTAAAGTATCTCTAAATAATTCTCAAAATATATAATTTATCTATTAAAATTATATACCTGAACTATTTAAGTCACCCATGCAGTATTAGATCTCTGAAGGCAACTCAATCTATTGTACTATCTTCTATGTAATATACAAATATTATATGCTTTTACTAACATTTTTATCTATTTATACTCTAATACTGTTTGCTATATGTAAACTACTTCATTATACGAAATAAATACTACATACATACATGTATAGGATATTTAAAAAATATAATAATAATTTTTAAAATAAGTAATCCCCCAATACATTTTCCTCTATATGTGAGCTACTTCAAGGATCTATGTATATGGTAACAGAACTCGTTTCCATATATAGTATATAAAATACTATAATACTATAATATACACTCTACAAAAGATCCATATATACATGGGTTTTGCTTTTGGAATGTATTCCCATGTTTTACCTATCTATTGGGCATCTCAAGTCTCTATTACAATGAGTGGAATACTTATATACATGGTATATATATTCTGTAACTATTATATGTAGTAATCCATTAAATATCCCATGCTAAGCATCTTCACTGTCTGGGTGAGCTCTCAATTAAAATTAGCTTTGCATGCCGTCGGCGAATTTGATTTGCTTCGCAGTTGAGCACTCACCTTGCAATAGCCGATTCTCGGCGTCCGTAAAGCTGAGCACCCAGGCATCGCCCTCCATGGCGGAGTTCTTGCCCTGGAGTGCGATGCACTCCTTGGAAAGCATATCGAAGCCCTCAGTCTTAACCTCTGCTACAATGTTGGGATGCGGCCAGGGTATGCCGGGCAGCGGCCAGTGCGACGCCGATCGCGGCCAGAGGCCGGCGCACTTGAAGGCGGGCGTAATTTGGACAATGATCCGCTCCCTGATCCGCAGCTTCACCTCCGTGGTGTCGGCGATCATTTTGACAATGTCGCGATAGGCGCACTTGTCGCACGCCTGCGCCACCAGCGTCTGGAATCTGGAGCGTATCTTGCGCGCCGACAGATAGCCGGACGCTGTGATGAACTCCACCCACAGCGACATGGAGCGTTTGCGTCCGTCGCTCAGCTTCAGCACCGCACAGCCGGGCAGAGTGCCGTCGTCCACAAAGTTGAGGACGCCCATCTGATTGAGGTAGATGATGATTTCGAACTCTGTGGGTGAGATCACTTCCAGGCCCTCGAAACGGCCGTTGTAGTCGTTCAGCGATGAGATGAAGCGCGGCTCCTGCACCTCCACCTCCTTGAGGACGTCCTGGACGATGCGGCATACCTCCTGGATCTGCTTGTGTATCTGCGCCTTGCGCACCTGCACCCGATCCGCGCAATATTTGTTCATTTGATAAACCATCTTGGACTGTGCCGCGATCATGTCCGACGGCACCAGCATTATTGACCCGGGCGACGACGTCGTGGTGCTTACTCTTAACTCTTTCTAGATATATATGCACGAGTATATATCCGCATATATATGTATGATCCGTATAAGTATTTGTATTAGGAACTGTTGTTTAGAGATATCTTAGCTTGTTTGAGAACAGTTTTAACATGGTTTTAGCATTTGCTTCAAATTCACTTATCGCTTATCCAATTTGTTTGATTCTCTTAGGCACAGCACACAAAAAAATTGATAACAAAATGCAATTGTTTGGGTGTGTGGAACGTTGCGAACGCTGGCGACGGCGTTTCGTTACTGTCGCGTTTTCACCACAATTCAAGTCACTGTTTTGCATTGAGTTTCGCACGCGTCGCAGTCGCAGTCGCTGTCACGGTCGCAGTCACAGTTGCAGTCACAGTCGCACTCAACTCGTGTCGCGTGTACTCGCGCCATCAACTCCAAGACATTGACTGATTTCGTATGGCGTGCACGCCGCAAGAAAAGTATCTTTGGCAGCCACAGTCGCAGCCGCGGTCGCGGCCGCAGTCGCCGTCGCAGCGCTGCCCAGTCTCCATCTCGTCGAACTCCCCAATGAGTAGCAGCACTGGCAGCAGCAGCGAGTGCGAGTGCGAGCGAAACAGCGATAGCCCTGACATAGCCCGTTTGGCTTTTGCCCACCACACTCCATCTCGCTCTGGCACGCTCTCTCACTCTCTAACCACACCTGAAGCAGCGAGAGCATGCGTAATGGCTGAGCAGCAAACTCTGTCGGCGCAAACCAGTGTGAGTGTGCCTGTGTGCATGTGTGTGTGAGTACGCTTGCCTTTGTGCTGGTTTCTTGTGTTTGTTTAATGCTCTTTTGATTGTTTGTTTGTTTAATAATGCGCTATAATGGCGACCACACTGCATTGGGAGCGCGAGAGCGAGCTGCCAAGAGAGCGCCTGGCTGTTAGCTTTAGCTGATATGCTTTTGCAATTATACTTTCACTCTTTGCAACCACAACAACCCCGTAAATGCATTCCCTTCTATATAGCCCATCATTTCCATTTGCTTCTGTTGCGGCCGCCGCCGACGTCGCCGGCGGTTGACTCCGCCTCTTTTTTGCGCTCACACAAGCACACAGAGAGTGGCAGAGCGAGAGAGCAAGCGCAAGAGAGAGGCAGCCGGCATATGCGGCGCTCACACAGATAAGCACCAATACACAGAGCCAGCGTTGTTGCTATTGTCCACACTTGGGGTTGGCCTGTGGGTGTAGTTCTTTTCTCACTCCCTCTCTCTTGTTCTTTCGTTTTTCTTCATTCTTTGTGGACTGTAGGCATTGTAAAAGTAGTTGTTGACTGCTATTCGCATTACAGTTAAATAAATAACATAAACAGCGCTCCAACAGTGGCCATTAACATGCGTGATTTATGTTAAGATGTCTGCGCGCGAATCTCGCAACGTAAATACAAAAGCAACTCTCTTAGCTTAGCGGACATACCAAATGAGCTGCAACTGTAATTATACTAGTTACACTCTGATGTTAAAGAACAAATCTTTAGAAACTAATTGCGCTGTTATTTATAACTTGTTATTGCCACAAAATAAGCTTAGAAAATAACAAAGTAACAAGGAAGTTATGTTAGTTAAGTTGGCATAGCTTTTGTTGTTTGATATTATAATATTTATATTTGTACGCGCATACATACATATGTATGTATGTGTATAATATATGATAATTATTAAATAATATGTACATGTTTTAATGCAATTAACATTGCTTACACAAAGAGAGTAATTTCACAATTTATATCACCTTTTTCATTCGATTCTACTAACATAACATTGTATAAGTAGTATTTTTATTAGACTTGTGTTACTTAATCACTTGATTTGTTATATGTATAGGTATGTTATATATACAAAATAAAATATATATATAATAATCATATAGAATACAATAATTAGAATATGATTTAAGTATTTTAGCTTATTACCATAGTAGAACAAATCTTTCAAATTTTGAAAAATATTTTAAGTATTATATAAATTTTGTATTGTGCCTTTGCTGCAATTGTATATAGGAATACCTAAGGGTGCCTATTACATTTTGGGCCTAAAAATCAACCTTTATTTATTTATCTCAATCAACTTATAAAAAAGTGTAATTAATATAAAACTAAAAGTGTAATAAATATAATAAATTAATAAATTTGTAAAACTACAATTATATATTAAAACAAGTAAGAGGACTCTAGTCGAGACTGCTCGACTAGGAGATACCCTAAACCCTCTAATCTGATATTCACTCTGCACTTCTTTTCGGCACACATACATACACACGCACGTATTAGAACGCGCTCTGCTAACTGCGCAGTAAGCAGCGACTGCGCTTGGGCTGCGCTGTAGTGTGGGCAACATTATAAGAATTTCTTTGTTGAATAATTTAATTTCTAGACGTACAATCTTAATGAAACTTTCAGAACATAATCATAATGTTCAAATGTATGTACATTCCAAAGCACAAGTCTCTAGTACTTGAAATACGTCTTTTACAAAGGTGAGGGTGAGGGGGTGGATATAAGGGTGGGGGGAAAATTACAACAAAAATCGAAATTATATAAAATATATATAAGTCTACATTTAAAATTTGGAAGCTCTAGCTCTAAAGGTGTAGGAGATATAATTAAATAACTAGCATTCGATAAGGTTTTTGATCGATAATAAAATATCGGGAGTAGTTATCGATATTTAAAGAAAAACTTGATATGCGCGTGATATACACGGACCTAGGAAAAAAAATTTCAAGTCTCTAGCTCTTATATCTTCTGAAATCGACGCGTTCATACATACGGACGGACGGACGGACGGACGGACAGACAGACGGACAGGGCCAAATCGACTTAGCTCGTCGCCCTGATCAAGAATATATATACTTTGTGGGGTCTGCCACGCCTCCTTCTGCCTGTTACATACTTTTAACAAAACCATTATACCCTGATTTCCCATTTTCAATGGGTTCAGGGTATAATTATGTTATGTTAAAATAATACATAAAATTCCAAACAATCTTTATATATTATTTAATCTTTATATATTATATTTATTAATGAATATATCCGAATAATAAACTAAGCAATAAACTAAGCATAAACTGAGTAGCAGCTGCCTATAGATTCCTTAAATATGCACACATAGAGTTAAGCGTAACTGTAGTAAAAATCGATGCTTTGTTGCATAGCCAAGACATCCTCTCAAGTTCCGTACAACTTCTTTATATATAACATAATTTCCTTTTTTTTTTCGTACGCCCATTAATGCACATCTAATGTGATTAATGGACGCTTAACACGAGCTGCCAGTCAGAGAGTGGGCGTAGAGAGAGACAGAGAGGGAGAGAGAAAGGCAGAGCGACAGAGCGACAGAGGGGAAGAGCGGGGGCTTGGCTAGCTGGTGTCATATCTAGCTTTTAATGCGCAGAGTCTGGCAACATTAAGTTCCACTTTAAGAGAGTGGCAAACAAATTATTATGTATAATTCAGTTAAGAACTGTGTGCCGGAACCTGCATTAAGATAAAGCTAATTAACACCTCAGACCCGACTCGGTGCCGGAGCACCCTAAGTTGGCTCTAGAATACGCTTGCCACATGCGTCTATCATTTTTCTCTGCTCTGACGATAAGCGGCGACTAGGCAGGAGACGAACGCGGAGACGGAGCTGGGGCAGGAGTCGGAGCTGGAGCTGGAAATGGAAATGAGCCGTTGGCTGATAATGTGCGAGAGAAATGCGCTGGGAATCGCTTTAATGGCCGCGTAAATGTGGAAAATTATCAAAGGGACACGAACTTAATTGCGTCCATTATCGGCCTTTATGGCATATAAATTGGAAATGAATTATGCAGCCAGACACAAAAGATCTTCATTAGGCCAGGTCTTGGCCAATGGCCAAGTGGCCAAGTGGCCAAGTGGCCAGCGACTGCAGCTTCTGCTCTTTGCCTTTGTCTGTCTCTGTCAAGGTCGTCTCGCTCGCTTTTTGGTGCACACAAAACTCTATCGGATAAGATAAAGCAGCCATTGATGCTGTGCGATTTATGCGAGTCACGCAGCTCTCTCGATCCCATTGACCGGATCATTGGCCGCTAAGTGGAGGCTGCACGGTAGTCGTTGCGTTTAATTAAATTGTGTATGTTGTATGCCAGTTTGTGTCTGTGTGTGTGTGTGTGTGTGTGTGTGCTACCCCTGGTTGATGGGACGACTTCATTCGCGGCAGTTGCTACTTATCAGCAGCAGAAGATCTGCAATGATGAGCTCCTGCTGCTGCTGCTGCTCCTGCGCCGTGGCACATACGCTTTATGGTTCTGGCCAGGCCAAAATGAGCAAATGGCGGAAAATTAAGCAAGCGACAAAGCGGGAGCGGGACACACATAGTGAGAGACAGAGACACACAATCAGAGAGATTGCAATCGCGACAGCAACAGCAGCAGCAGCAGCAGCAGCAGCTGCAACATGGCCACAACAACAAGCTGCTGCCGGTGCTCCTGCTGCTCCTGCTCCTGCTCCTGCTCCTGCTGCTCCCCCTTCAGCAACTAAGTTCAGCTCTTGTTATACCCGCTCACTAACTGAATAAAAAGAGTTGTATTGCTTTTAGGCAATTTTAATATCCTTGTCAAATCGAAAAACCCTTCAAGTAGAGACCCTCAAAGTTTCACAAGATCTTTTACGTCAAATTCCACTGCAGATCAACCAAGATAGATATATAGACGAGTATCTTGAGGCATTAGCTTTGCAACTGAGCTACTCTCGAACTGACCCTATGTGAAGAGGTATTACACAGTCGTTGACATCCGTTTACTACGTTCCTGCTCATTTCTTCTTCTTCTTCGATTGGGCTTCTTTGTGTTGACACTTGCAACGTGGACATGTTCATTTGTGTTTTAGCTGAGCGAATTATTTGCGGTGCAGCAACAACAGCAGCAGCATCAGAATAATCGCAACAGCTTAAAATCTGATAACATCTCTTGATTTTATATAGATCTCCAAATCGAGAAAAGATAAGCAAAAGTGACTAAAGGTAACTAAAGCCTAGCTGAAATTACCAATTAGATTATGATAAGAAAATACTTAAAATCTAAATAGAATAAGTCTGATTGCTCTTCCCCATCTCTACGACAAATCAGCTGCATTCAGCACTGGAGGAGGGGTAGCGAGAGGAATGAACTCCATAGCAGGAGTAGTCATAATTTGTCTACATCCAAATAAAATCTCAATACCAAATCTACTGACTTTTATTCATAAATTCACAAGCTGAGCTCACATAACTAAAGTTTGATATGGGCTTCTTCTATTCGATATTATAGAAAAAGATCAAATGTATCGATTATTGGAAGGAAACTTAATATGCGCGTGCTATTGATGGACCAGCGTATAAAAGTCTCAAGTATCTAGCTATCATAATTTTGCAGATCAAAGAAAGATATGTAAGCGGACTTATGGACGGACGG